CATGGATGTGGAGAGAAGGGAACGCTTCTACACTGCTGGTGGGAATGCAAGCTAATACAACCTTTTTGGAAAGAAGTTTGGAGAACACTCAAGGAACTAAAAGTAGACCTACCATTTGATCCTGCAATTAATTCCTCTACTAGGTAAATACCCAGATGATCAAAAGTTATTTTACAATAAAGACATTTGCACCAGAATGTTTATTGCAGCCTAATTCATAATTGCCAAGACATGAAAACAGCCCAAGTGCCCATCGACTCATGAATGGATTAACAAATTGTGATATGTACGCCATGGAATACTATGCAAATACTAAGCCATAAAAAAGATGGAGACGTCACATCTTTTATGTTTACTTGGATAGAGCTTCTTAGTAAAGTATGTCAAGAATGAAAAAGAAAAGTACCCACTGTACTCAATACTACTATGAAATCAATATATTATCACCTACACATTCATATGAATGGCAAAACGTAACTATAGTCCAGAAAGTAAGACAGAAGAGGGGAGAAAGAGGAGGGGAGAAGGAATATGGGAGGAGGTAGAGTATTTGGGAAGAATCTCACCTAATATGCATGATGCAATGGTACATTTTAAAACTATTAAGAAATAAGTATCATTGTGATGAATGTGTTACTTAGTTCAATGTAAGCATTTCACATTGTATATCAAAGCAGTATACTGAACCCCATAAATGCATCAATGTACAAAGTTATGATTTAATAAAAAAATAGTAATAATTTTAAAAAAAAGAAAGAAATCATATATGAAGTACTGTGGACTGTGTCTGATAATACTGGATACAGAAAAGTATCAATTTCCCCACTTCACAATATTCTTAATGAATCATTCCCTTACTTAAAGAAATTTTAAGTGTAAAACTGCTAACTACTATGTATGACATAACTAGATAATAACAAATGTTAAAAAGAAATGAACTTACTAGTAAAAAGATTACTTAGTGAATTCTCTTTTGATGATTCCTTTGAAGATGAAATGCCAACGTGTACAATAAAAATGTACGGTGCATCTTGCCAAGTTTGCAATGGTTCATGCATTGCCTAGAGAGGGAAAAAGGCATCAAGTTTTGAAATCTTAAGAATTAAAGCCACAAATTAATAATATGTGCACAATATGAAAATTTTGTTCCAGAATGTGTCCAGAAATGTGAGAGTCCTTCAGTTTCATTCTGTAAAACAGCAGGCATAAAACAAGCCTATAGAGTACACAATAAAGTAGGCTTGACTATAAATTACTAAGATACTTTATATCTTACACACAAAAACCACATTTAAGATTTGTTCATGAGAAAAACTGACCAAAATCACTAACTTGAATCTCTACTTAAGTCACATTAGGATACGAGGTTATGTTTTACTAAAACAACATAATAAGCTAAGGATTTTAAACTAAGAAGTATTTAAATCATCTAAAAAAACTTATGGTGATGTCAATAAATAGGAATTATAAACATCAATTCGTGAATCTAATTCAGTCCAACACCCTTCCCAAGACTATCAGGAAATCTGCTGACATGGTCTCACATTTATTATATAATGTGTATATAGGTAATGTATATAAAAACAAAGAGTCGCGGCCGGGCATGATGGCTTACACCTATTCTTAGCCCTCTGGGAGGCCAAGGTAGGTAGACTGCCTGAGCTCATGGTTTTGAGACCAGCCTGAGCAAGAGTGAGATCCATTTCTAAAAACAGCCAGGCATTGTGGCAGGCACCTGTAGTCCCAGCTACTTGGGAGGCTGAAGCAAGAGAAGCGCTTTAGCCCAGGAGTTTGAGGTTGCTGTGAGCTATGACGCCATAGCACTTTACTGAGGGCATCAAAGTGAGACTGTCTCAAATAAATTTAAAAAAAGCAAGGATCACTGCCCCTCAAAGTCAAAAAAGACAAATTAACAGCCTACAAGGGCCTGACCAGTGATTCTTGCTTTCTACATAGATAAAACTTCACAAACACAAGACTAAATGCAAAGATAAAGATGAACACAGAAAATGATTGGCTGCTACTTCCTATGTGTGAAAAGAGGTACTGCTACTAAATTTTCAATTTATTATCACCTGGTCCTAGAAAGTGAAACTTTTATCCAGAGACCTCTGGGTAAGCGTCACTGATCTATGAAACCCTTAGAGGATGACAAATTTTTATACGTTTGTGCATTTTCTTTTTTTAATTTATTTTTCTTACATATACATGTGTATATTAGGTTTCCACTTTTGCCTTCACAGAATTAAAAGGCTAAATTTAATGACAATAATAATATTTAACATAAGGACTGAGAACAAAAACCTCATAAAGAACAAAAGAAGATAAATACATTCAGAAAAGAAATCAGACGATTGCT